AAAAAAAAAAAAAAAAAAAAAAAAAAAAAAAAAAAAAAAAAAAAAAAAAAAAAAAAAAAGAAGTTAGATCTTACAATACTTTCATCCAATATTTTCAAATCTCCACCTCTGTTATGATATCATAATATAATTTTAGTTTTAGTTTTCACGTGTTTCATTTTATTTTAATAAATGTACTTTCAAATTTTATTTTAAAAAATTAGTTGATTCATTAAATATTAAATATTATTTTTTATATCTCAAAATTAAAGAATTAAGTTTGAGAGAGGTGATGGGGGTTGTGTTAACCACACAGCCATAAGAAAATAAAAATAAATAATAATAAATAAAAGAAAAAGTGTGGGCTCTTATTTAATTATTTAATTATTTAATTATTTAATTATTTAATTATTTAATTATTTAATTATTTAATTATTTAATTATTTTCCAGTGCAGACAAAATGGGAACTCAAAAGGTCAGAACTTTACTTGGCATCTCTATTTACTCTGCCTTTCTTCTTCTTTATGATTCCTAATGGGCATTGCATTGCATGAGTCTGTACTGTCTGCCAATTTTTGCCTCTTTTCCCCAAACTACCCTTCTCTGTTTTTTTTTCGCTGTGGCTTGTGGGATCTCTTTCTGCACTTGTGTCAGTATGAGTGGTGCATTTTCTGGGGTCAGTTTGGACAATTTGGATGCGGTAATTGGCTTGCCTTCTCCTTTTTTTTTTTTACTTTTTCTTAAATCCAAGGCTGGGGGAGCTTCTGAATTTGCAACACCAACACTTTGTCTTTCACTTTTTTATTGCTTTGATAAAATATGATGTGTTCATCTATAAGGTTCCTTTTCTTTTTGTAATTTTTCTCTCATCATTTTCTTTTCCTTTTACTCCTCATCAACTACTTTTACTTTAGACGCATAATAATAGAATAATTATTTGGTGTAATCATATGAACTAGTTGTAAAACTTAATGATGATTTGATGCCCATTAAACAATAATCACTGTGAATTAACAGTTTCATAGGATTAAGTATAACGAAAAATATGTTACTGTTCATCAGAAATATCTATGAATTATTCTATGGCGCAGCCTCTGCATCTTTTGTAGTGTTAACAAGAAAATAATGCAGATGTGGTTGGTGGGTTCAGTGGAAATTTACTGTTTCACTTTCATCTTATATTAAATGAGTCTATCTGCTTCACTTGTTGAATCATTTCATAGTGTATTGGTGATATGGCTTAACTAGCTGTAAGATTCAGATGTTACCATTTACCAGGGAATACAGGCATTCACTTCATCTTACTCATGTGTAAGGGAAGAACTGGATGTAGTTTGTTCAATGGCATCAAAATATATATATTGATTGCATCGTGATGGAGACTACAACTTTCAACAGTAAAACATTAGTTTCCTAACATTTTCGCTAAGTTTTGGTAGAGCCATTGTTTTTGGAGGGGCAGCTCGAGAGACTGTATTGGCTGTCGAATCGGATCGATCGAGGTAAAGTCTGCCTCTATAAGCAGCTAGATGAGCATAATAAGCTGGAGGTACTAGTGAAACAGGCTTCGTGCACCTATTATATGTGTAGCATAAGTTGTAAACCAGCTTTTGAAGTTCATCAGAAGTAAACTGGTTTTCATCACACAAGACATGATAATGCGTAGGCCTGCTTGTTCCCTTCACCCCCCAGTGGCTGCAGAGATAGAAATCGAATTCCTTTGGGTGAGTAATTACAGTATCAACAACCGTCCCGGGAGGAATGTTTTCATCAAGAACCTCAGTTTGGTTTGAAGATGGATCTACTTTGAATGGGAATAATCTTGTGTGATGCCTCTTTTGAACAACAGCAAAAGTTATAGGAGGTTTATAGTTGTGGAATCGTGAACAAGCTGTTTTTATAGCCTGCAATTCCTCTTGAAGCACTTTGTAGAACTGGGTTTCGCTCACGCCATCTCTGAAGAATATAATTCGTGATGGAAGTTCGTTCACTTCTTGATAAAATTCCTCGAGCAGCTCTTCGACCATTGCTCCGAGATCCATAATAATTTCTTGCCTGTGTGTTTGTGATCTCATTCTAGAGACGTACTTGTTTGCTGCTGGCCAATTCATGCTACCAACCACAGCAGCTATGGAGGGGCTAAAATCATCCAAGGGATGAGGATGAGTTACATCGGCACCCATGAAGATCACGGGCTTATTGATACGAAGCAGCCGTGGTACTTGGGAAGGTAACGAGTTGTATAATGCAACAGTGCAACCACCAACCTTTGCATTGATCTTAAGAGCCAAATTGGCCAGAAATTGGGAGCCTAGCTTGGCAAGATTTGGATAGAGGCAGCATTGACTAACAATGCCGATACTCGTCTCGGCGATGCGTTTCAAATCTGCATAGCCTTTATGCTTCCGATCCATCACACAGATCAAGAGCTGAAGGCTGTTAGATGCAGCTCCAATAAGCTTCTTAAGCTTTGATTCCAACAGCGTGACACTGTTGAGTACTTGAGTTGGTTCAAATTGAGGTGGTACGACTGTTTTGCTGTTGAGAAATATGCCTAATTGGTCACACCTTCTTGAGAGCTGGTTTATGAATCTTGGAATGTTAGACCTCTGATCTAAGCTACCGCCGAAGCTTATCAATGCCCACCTCTCGATTCTTGTTCCCTCGAAAACATGGCAATCGACAAGGTTCCACTGGCGGTCGTGACGGGAGGGAATAAGATCTCGAACCTGGCCGCCATCGCCAAGCTTTAGCTTGGGAGGTTGAAGAACTCTCCCACTTAATTTGGTCATTTCCCTCGAGACTTGGAGGCTGAATTCTCTTCCCTGGACCCCGCTGCCAGCCAAAGCAGACAAATGATATTAGAAAGTGAATTAGAGCTCTCAAGCAAATTGAGAATAAAGTTTCAAATTTACCTGGTTGGCATAAAAGAACCTTGCATGACACCATCTATATTAGCTTTCCTTTCCTTTGGCCTCTGGCAACCCATCTTAAGCATTCTTGCAGTCTGTTCATCAGTGAGCTTTCCCAGGAATTTCTGCCCTTCACAAATCATACAAAGCTCCATAGGAAGATAACATGGCTTACTCCTACTAATCTGCAAGCAAGGAAAATTCCTGAATTGAATGTCATAGTTATAATGATCCTTGAAGTAACCCACCAATCTTAGATTCTTCCCATTTCTGTCTGCAAACCAGAGACTCTCAGTAGGTTCATCTGTTAAGCCATAAACTTTGTATTTCTGAACACTCTCTCTGTGACAAACAAAAACTCTAATATGCATCAAAGCCTTCTCCACTTCTCTCCTTTCTTCACTGGTCAAGCCCCTTGTCTTCCTCTGAGAAAGGTCTCTAAGAAAATCAAGACGTTTTTGCAAGTAGGGAATCACTCCAATGCTCTCATGAAAAGTAGTGACAGAACAATCTACGTTCATAGCCAAGCCTTGCTGTGTGGGTCTAAGGCTTTGGAAAAAGCCTCTCAAGCCAACAACTCCTCCCCCAATTTCTTTGCTCCCCCACATTGAACTTGAATACAGAGATCTTCCCACAGAGATGCATTTCTCATTTGGGCCCTCCCTTAATACAACATCTAAAGCATGAAGATAATCCTGAGGAATTGGAATCCAATCATCTCCCTCTTTTGACAAGTATCTATTCAGTTCCATCCCATCAATTTTTGAGACAAGTTTAATACTTATCCGGAAGAGTTTGAATGCTTGCTTATGTTCGATCTCTCCTTGGGTTACTTTCATCCTGCTGGAGGGAAGTGGAAGGCTGACATAGAACTCAAGCCTGTCTCTTACAAACTCAATTGGGCTGTAAAGATTCTTGCGGCCATCATAAGCAGGAGAGGCCCCAGAGAGCAAATCCGAGTTGTCCTCTACAAGTTTTTGTTTGATCAATCTGGCAACTTCTTTTGAAGGGTTGGGAGAGATTTCTACATTGTAATGGTAAATACGTTGTGAGGGGTCAAATTGGAGTAGGAAATGGTTAGCCAAAAGAGGAATAACTGGCCCTTCTACACCTCCAGAATCTGGTCTTCTTGCAGCCACTAATACCTCTGGTTTACTTTCACTCACCTTTCCATTATCTCCTTTAAGTGGCAAAGTACTTTTCAGTCGTAGTAGCCCTTTTGGAGCTGAATGAATGCACGTGTTCAAAGAGCCAAAAAAAAAATGCCAGAATGATTACAATCCACCCACTTAAGACACTGGAAATGCAGAGGTCAAAAAATCCCTAATCAAAGAAAACAGATAAAAGAGAGAGAGAGAGAGAGAGAGAGAGAGAGAGGGAGGGAGAGGGAGAGAGAAGAAGAAAAAGAAAAAAAAAATGAACAAGGGCTTTCATATAGCTTTACCTGGAGAAATCTTTAATATAGGGACATGGGTATCAGAGGTGACAGCAAGAGGAGGGTTATTGACCCTACAGGAAGCCTTCTGCAAGTGGGCTTTTGGTCTAGTGGTGGTTCTATTTGGAGGAAGAGCAGGAGCTAGAGCGAGTTGCAGAGGAATAGGAGGAGGAAGAGGAAGGGGAAGAGGTAGAATAACAGGACAGCATCTTTGGAACTGGTTTTGGTTACAAAAGGCGTACTGGTTTGAGTACTGCCATAGCTGGTGATGCTGATAATGGCGATGAACATGATGATGATGATGATGATGAGGAGGAGGAGGAGGAGGAGGAGGAGGATGAAGGTTAATCCTGGCTTTGAAACTCCCAGTTTTGTTGTTACATTTGCTGGTAGCGTTGGGCTCGTCTGAGTCTTCCATGATTCGATTAAGAGAGAAATGGTTTGATGAGCATGAGAGAAAGTGCAGTGGTGAAATACAACAGTGAGTGAGAAATGGGTTGTGTGTTTCTTGTTTCTTTATATCCACTGCAAGGTATCTCAGTCCCTTCTGGGACTGTAGTAGCCAGCTGCCGCAGAGAGAGAAAGAGAGGGAAAAAGAGAGAGAGAGAGAGAAAGAGAAGGTTTTGGGTTCTTAAGGTTCAATATGTCTGGGCATGGTGGAGGTTTTATGCCGCTTTGTATAATAATCTGGAATGGAAAAGGTGGAAGTGGGGTATGTCTGGTTGTAAAGCTGGACATATGAGATTGACCAGTATCTCTATCTCTCTACTTATTAGCCATTGTAGCCATTGTAGACCAGACCTAGAATCTCCTTTTTAATCCTCCAAGTATCACAAAGTAAACATAACTAAGTAGTTATGTGTATCTGTTTTATGTTCGGGGTTCAAATCTTCGTAATTCTTTTTATTGTGCTAAAAAAATTACTGAATTTTAGTATAATAGATTTGACTTTAAATTTGATGGCAAAAGCAACCGATTTGCTCGAAGTAATTGGATAAAGTCTTTATTTTTAGCTATTGTTGGTGTCAATTATTTATGCGTTGAAGAAGAGTTTGTACTTCTTCGATCTCCATGCTATTATAGATTCTGATTAATTTTTATCTAAATTTTCATTTTATTCCTTAAGCAAAGAATTTTCTATTTGAACGAGTTATTATAGAAACAAAATCAACCTTTGTGATTTCTATTGGGATTTATTAAAAAAATTTATAGATTGTCTCTTGGTGCAACAATTTTCTACTCAGTTTAGATTTTCGACATCCTGCAATTGATGAACTCGAAAAAAAAATATTGATTCCATTTGAAGATCTGCAAACCACATAGCTAAAGCAAACCAAGAATTACAAGAAATTTGAAATGGTATTGTTCAAAGGGCTTTGAATGTAAAGCTGGAAAGACAGTAGTTAATGAAAATGAACCATTAATAAGTTGACAGTTTCCTGGGGTCCGTCTGTAGCAGTGTGAAACAGTGGAAAACAAGTAGGAAGGAAGTGAAAAGCAACAGAATAAGT